CAATAACTTACCATTAAATTCAGCACCATGGAGAGGGGCAACATTTTGCAATTGAGGAAATAAAAATCTTTCAGTCCAAACAGCTTGCCAACAAAAACAACAACAACAACAACAACAACAAACGTATTAAAAACAAACCAACAGTGACCCAAATATGGAAAAAGATATAGTAGATGTAGTATATATGTACTAGTTTGTAGTATGTATGCAGCATTATACTGAAATGTACTACTAGTCACCTCCAGGTGATGGCAGTCAGATGTCATTAGTGCACACAAACACAGATACATTACAGATAATACTCTTTATTCACTATAGTAATAGCATACAATAGCTTCCATTTGTGAACTTATAATCTTTATACAACGCTCCTTCAAATGATTGTTTTCTTCTTCCTTTTCTAGACTGCTCTGATGTTTTAGTATCATCATACCATGTACTTGTCCCACAATGTTTCAGTCATTTTATATATATAGTTCACATATCATAAAATATTGTAACATACTTATTGAGATTTTTGCATGGCGCCACCCTAAGCATTTCAATGAACTCTAAATTTCATTCATTTGGCCTGCTGGCAAGATTAGATATCTACTAGTTACAGCTGTTTACATACTATACTTAGCAGCTTACTTCAGGAAGCGGGCAGTAATTTGTGCATGCAGAGAACCAATAGAGTCACATGATGAAGTCATACCTCAGAGAGCAAACTGATTCATAGACTCAGAACCGCATGTAGACAGAAGTGCAGAAGACCCAGGAAGAAGATAAAATGAATAATAACATCTACATGATACTCTTTCTTTTTCTTCATGAAGTCTGTAAGTACAAAATAATGCATCATTCAATCATTCTTTTACTAATCAACTACATGTCATCTTTGAAAACTATGATAATCATTTTTCCAACAGGTGAACACAATTGCAATGTTGCTCATGTGGATCAGGTTTTAACCGTAAAAGAGGGAGGGGATGTATTGTTACCTTGTCTTATTGTAAATGATCAGTTACACCGAGCACTATGGTATAAACAGGTTCTTGGAGAGAAACCTGTCCTAATAGTGTCATCATATCACCACTCTCAACCGAATGAATTTTCTCCTGACTTTGAAGCAAGTCAACGTTTTCATGCAGTGCGAAAGGATGATAGTTTTAACTTAACCATCCTGAGAACCTTGAAATCTGATTCAGGCATGTATTTCTGTGGTGCTGCCTTTGCTAATGTTATTTCCTTCAGCACTGGAATTGTTTTGCTGGTTAAAGGTGAGTGTTATAATATTTATACTTTTGATGGACAATTCCATTTATTGTCAATGTTAATTCCTTTTTTTCCCCTTATAGGTGCAGACCTCAAACCTGCTGTTATTCAACAGCCTGTGCTTGGTGTTATGAAGCCAGGAAGCAATGTGACTCTGCAGTGCTCAGTAGAAGTGAAGATGTGTGAGAAAGGAGTACAACTAGTCTACTGGTACAGACGCAGTTCAGACAGAATGCATCCAGGAATGGTTTATACTCATGGAGACATGAACAATGAGTGTGGGAAGAACTCTGCAGCCTCCTCTCCTATGCAGAGCTGTCTGTACAACCTCCCCAAGATGAATGTTGGTCTCTCTGATGCTGGACTATACTACTGCGCTGTGGTAACTTGTGATGAAGTTTTATTTGGAAATGGCACAACATTGGTCATTGAAGGTAAGTGCATTATGTTTGAGTAGTATTATTTGTTAACAGACACATTTTTATCCAGAGTGACTTACAAAGTAGAAATATCGCAAGCAATTTACTATATGAGAAATATCCATAATACCAAGTTTTAAAGATAAGATAGATTAGTCCAAATGATTTTTGTTATTATTATTATTATTATTATTATTATTATTATTATTGTGTCTTTGTTTGTTGAACTTTCTGTATTCAGATGCGTGACACTTCTGGTTTAGAAACTTCTACTACTACTACTACTACAACTACTAATATATGTATATATAGTATACAAAGTTTCTTAATCTTAAGAAACTTTAGCATTTTAGCTTTAAATCCAAATAGATTTTAAATTGGCCAATACAATCAAATAAACATCAAGCATAAATGTCATGCTCTTTATAATCATATCCATGCAGGACTATAATTTACAATTTAATTCAACATGCAATAAGTTATGTACAGTAGTATGTGTAGTACTGTATGTGTTTGAACAGTGACAAATAGTGGGTAATAAACTTAATATTACAAAATATTTTTGAACCCACTCTCTAAATTCATAAAGTTGCACAATGTTTCTTGTGTTTCAGATGAATTTAATAGTGAGAGGATGCAACATTTTATTTTAATTGGCCTTGCAGTGCTGTGTACAGTCAGTTTTACCATCAATATTTTGCTCTGTATACCATTAAGAAGAAAAGGTAAGACCACGTTTCTTCTTAATTTCTGCAATCTTTCAGTTTAAGCACTTAGTGGGTAATAAACTTAATTTTACAAAATATTTTTGAACCCACTCTCTAAATTCATAAAGTTGCACAATGTTTCTTGTGTTTCAGATGAATTTAATAGTGAGAGGATGCAACATTTTATTTTAATTGGCCTTGCAGTGCTGTGTACAGTCAGTTTTACCATCAATATTTTGCTCTGTATACCATTAAGAAGAAAAGGTAAGACCACGTTTCTTCTTAATTTTTGCAATCTCTCAGTTTAAGCATTATTATTATTATTATTATTATTATCCAAAATCTAATCCTGGAAAGAACATTTATGTGATAGAAAATGCAATACTGTGTTCAAACAAACAGAATAGTGTAACTCTTCTCATAATGCTTTATTTGACTTTTAACAGATAGAACGCCTCAACAAATCCAGACTACCAATGGCGATACAACAAGAGTACAGGTTTGGACAATCAGATGTGCAAATAACAGTTAACTCTCGTAACTTAATATAGAGTGCTGAAAAAAATGAAGAGTCTCCTAATTCTTTCTTCTAGTACCGCAACACAGATGACATTAACTATGCTGCTCTGAACCTTTCCACTAAAAGAGGTCAGAGAAAAAGGACCTTAGAGGAGACAACGTACTCTGTACCGACATTGCGAGACAAGATCTGAAACTTATAGCTGCTGATTGTCTAAACGTACCATAATATTTAACATAATATCCAGCTCCAGGAGTGCATTAGTAATATTCCATATTTGTGTCTCTAATGATAGAAACTGCCTATGCATGTCTGTGCTTATCCTGCATCGTGTTAAACGTGTATTTTTTTTCAAGAAACGTGCTGTGAGTGTTAACATTAACACTTCTGGGAGATGACGTGCAAAATTATATAAAAGCATAACCACATCCTGTAAAGGTGTAACTAGATGTGAAAGTACTGTGTTCATCAGCTTGAATAAACCTCGCAACTAATTTGATTTAGGTCAGCCTTCTAATTCGGTTATTCATCTCTAACACAATATGGTTACTTCCTCTATGACAGAGCATGCCATGTTGAATAGTGTTTCCCATAATGCAATGCACTCGATTTGACCTTCCATTTCCAGTGTTAGGAATGTAATAGAAAAAATATCAAATATAATATCTGAACATATACTTCTTTAATCATTATTTGATCAGACGGACTAGAATTAATTTCAACAGAATGTGTTTTTAGTGAAACAGGATATTCAATGTGGGGAAAAAAGCAGGCCGGGACTTGATTTCACAGATTGTGAAAAATGGTAGAAAAGTGTAGGTTTGCAATGCACTCGATTTGACCTTCCATTTCCAGTGTTAGGAATGTAATAGAAAAAATATCAAATATAATATCTGAACATATACTTCTTTAATCATTATTTGATCAGACGGACTAGAATTAATTTCAACAGAATGTGTTTTTAGTGAAACAGGATATTCAATGTGGGGAAAAAAGCAGGCTTGATTTCACTTGAAATTGTGACTTGATTTCACAGATTGTGAAAAATGGTAGAAAAGTGTAGGTTTTTAGTTGGAGGGAAAGACTTGAAAAATAAGAGATTGGTGATGCTGAAATAAGGAAAGGTTTAATTATTTCTTTTTTTTTTTTCCCTCGGAATAACGTGCACGGATGAATCGTGCATTAAAAATGGTCAGTTTTGATTCATGTTGACAGGATGTTTTAACAAAATTTTTAACTGTTTTCAATTTCCAAGATGACAACTGGATGCCATTTGCAGAAACATGCAATATGATGAGGTCATGTGACAACAATGTAGCATACTACTATTATAAGCTACCAGGTGATGGCAGTGAGGCATCACAAATAGAGAAAAGCACATAAATATTTTTATCTTGATTTCCAACATATTATGCTCATGTAAAATCACTTACACAATATTCTTTCATCATTCATCATGCAAATGCTTTTATTTAAGATTTACCATAGCAACACTTCATTTGCATTCATTTGAATATTTGAACACACCCGTTGTTTATTTTATGTTCATTCCTTTTACAATATAAATATAATTTCTTTCAGGGTTTAAAATCATGGGCTTGTATTCCAAATCTTGAAAAAAATGTTAAGCAGTTTCCACTAAGAAATTCCAAATGGATCTTTTTTTGTTGTTTGTTGCACCACCACTGAATATGTATCAATATCAGTTATGCATGTGCTGTAAAGTGTGATATTTTCATCAAAATATGTTTTAGATTAAACTGAGTTTGTGTTTGTGTGTGTGTGTGTGTGTGTGTGTGTGAGTGTGAGTTCACATATGTCAGCTATTGACCCTACTCTGACGTACTATAAAGAGGAATATTCCTTTGTCTGATGTAGAAGCTTATCAGTGTATTGAGTTTAAACAATGCTAGTTATTTTAAATGTGTGTAACTTCATTTATACTCTGTTTAAATCCTGATTGAGGCTATGCATCAGAATAGATAATTTACAAATCATTAAAGATTATATGATAATGTACCACATCTGTTAGAAGCACAAGTTAAACAAGGAAATGGGCAATGACTTGTTAGCTCAGAGAGCCAATGCAATGATGTGATGGTGCTTCCACTCAAAGCAGAGGAAAGGTTTCAGAGAATTTAAGGTTGAGCACTGAAGGTCATCTGAAAATGTATGTCATTCTCTTCATTGTATGGGTTCTCTTTTATAAACCATGTAAGTACAAAACTACAATAGTAATGGTTTCACAAGTTTTTCTTGAACCTTCTGTATTTTTCATTGTGTCGCTTATGTTTCAACAAATGTCTTCGCATTATTTTACAGCAATGCAATATTCTGAAAGTGTTCTGCAGATGGAAGATGTAGCAGTTCAAGTAGGTGATAATGTGACATTTCACTGCTTTCACCCAAAAGACCAACTGAATAGAGTTATGTGGTTCAAACAGACTCTGGGAGAGAGACCTGTTCTTGTAGCCTCTTCATATCACTGGACTCAAAAAAGTGTACTTTATGATGATTTTGAAAAGTCAAACCGCTTTAGAGTAGGTGCAGGGATTGGCAGCTTTAATTTGACTATTCAAAAAACGGCACAATCCGATTCAGCTACATATTACTGTGCTGTTTCTTTTTCTAATGTTGCCTACTTTGGAGCAGGAACTAATCTAGTGATTAGAGGTGAGTGATCAATATTTAGACTAACTCTTTATGAAATTAGTAATGTTTTACAGTCTCAAATTCATGATATTTCAACAGGTTCTAAATCCAACAGGATTCATATTCTACAGCAGCCTACATCATCAGGTGGAAATGTGACTCTACTATGTACAATCCAAAACGAACAAGAGAGTTGTGGAGGTGATCACAAAGTCTACTGGTTCAGACACGGTTTAGAAAAATCCCATTCAGGAATCATTTACACTCAAGGAAGTTGTAAAAACAGCTCAATGGCTGTTTCTCCTACCAAGAGCTGTGTCTACAGTCTCTCTTTGAGAAACATCAAGCCCTCTGATGCTGGGACCTACTACTGTGCTGTGGTCACATGTACAGAAATTTTATTTGGACATGGAATTAATCTGGCTTCTGATGGTAAGTGTGTTAAATACAATTTATAACAAGTTGTGTACATCTTAAGCAGCCATTTTACGGTTGATGACGCAGTATTTTTAGTGAGCTTCTAGTGTATTGTACAATGCTAAGACAAAACCTTTTGACATCTAGCACTGTGTAGTATAACACACAGAGTACCTTAGTGTGCATAAAGTGTTTGAAACATGTTGTTCATCTGCAATATAGAATTTCTGTTGATGCAAAATTAATCGCATGCTTCTTTAATTGCGTGCTGCATGTAGTTCCAGGACGCAGCATGTGGTGCATTCAAGTTATGTGTTACTTGTTTCAGATGAACATAAAGGCCAGCACATAAAGATCTTCATTCTAATTGGCCTTGCAGCACTGCTGACCGTAAGCTTCTTCAGTAATATTCTACTTTGCGTGAAAAAGATGAAAGGTAACAGCTCACTTTAATGTATTTATATATATAATACATCATATGAAATACATAAAGATATACATTAAGATGAAAACATGCACTATTTTTTTATTATTCAGAACTATTATGTAAGATTTATTATAAATAAATATTTACATTTAATATAAATGTATTATTATAAATAATATATTAATAAAATTAACATAATTCCTTTTAACCTGCACGGGTAAATATCAATGCCATTTTAAAGTACTAAAAATCATCTCATATTTGATCTTATAACAGGCAACACATCTCAACACGTTCATGCTACAGACAATATAGTGTCAAGTGTACAGGTTTGTATTACATGGACAGATAAAATGATATTTTAAAAGTCAAGTATTTAGACAACTGTGGTTTAGATGATGTACATCACTTAATGGAAACGTTTATTAAATATATATATATTTTATTTTAGCACCACAGGACCTCCGATTTGAATTATGCCGCCTTAAAATTTACAAGCCAAAGCTCAAGACAGCAGCGAGAGGAGAGACAAAGACCGACAGAGTACTCTGGACTGAAATGTAAAAACTCTCTATCGTAATACTGAATATGCATAGTTGCTAATATTGTTTGCTAACCAGAGCCACTTTGAATACCATATGATAAATCATAATTGATACTATGTTATGTTCTGAATAAATATGAAACTTACATGTTTACAATTAGTCTCTTTATTCTGTAAATAACCACAGACAACTATCTCATGCTTATTGTGCTTTAATGTTGATGTGGTACTGTATGTGAATAAAGTGTTATTTGAGCAATATGCCATGTTTTTTCTTCTTCATAAAAACAGAAACAGACCCCCGTGCTCTTTGTATTTAATTTTCAGATACCACTGCAACATGATTAGTGATAAAAAACACACAATTATGCTATTTTTATTTGTTTCGAATGTGAATGGTTGACAGGATCCGATTTAACGTTTGATAAGATCTACACCACAAACCACAAGGTCACACCCCAGTTTACACAGTAGACACAGAAGACAGTCTTCTTCCATTCGATGTGCATGAGGCTGTCTGTAGTAACTTTGGCCTATCTGACACCCACTCAGCCCCCTCTCTCCCTCCTCACTGTGTGGCACAAACTCTTCTCATGATTAAAGTCAGAGACAGAAGAAAACGTTTTTCCCACCTGGAAAATCTCTTAATTTCATTAAAGTCCAGCCGAAAAGTAAGAGAAGATGAAATCTAATGGAAGGTGTTCAGGCTAAACACGTGAGTCAAACTAAAAGAAGGGCTGTGTGAGTGAATGACATCATATCCTGCTGAGTGAGTGACAGGAAAAACCTGCTTAGTGTAGAGTTAAAACTGCTGAGGTGAACATCAGCGGATCTGCTTTGTATCTTGTACTTGGATCAAAATACATCGATTCATATCATAAATCTTGTAATCATTAATTATTTAGAGTACAGTTATTTTACTTAATTGGTTATTTGTAATTTTTTACACATATTGTATTACTGTATTTTGAATTTTAGATTGTTTGTTGGTAATATTTTTTTTATGTCTGTAATAGTAGTATATAGAGCTGCTGCTCAACACTATGCAGTAATGTTATTTTGTATTGTCCCTGTGAAATAAACACACACAAACACACACATGTTGGTTTTTATGATTTATGGGGACTCTACATAGACGTGAAATTTTTTATACTGTACAAACTGTATTTTCTATCCCCTTACCCTAACCCTACCCCTCACGCACACTTTCTGCATTTTTACATTTTTAACAAAACATTGTTTAGTATGTTTTTAAAGCTATTTTAATTAGGAATACTCAAGAAATAGCACATAAAACACATTTATGCTGTTATACCAGTGTAATACCCATGTCATTACACAAATTTGTTTCTACACACACACACACACACACGTACAATTAGAATAAGTAACAAATATATATTTTTAAAAATTATAAAAATGAAACACCTAAAAAATAAATGTGACAAAGTAAAAATGGATCAGCACCTTTGCTCTCAGTGTGAGCATCATGGTTTAAGTAGTTTCCACCCGCAACACAAGACCCATCTATTTTTTCTTTCACATCTCTTGCTGCATCAAAACCACACACAAAAAAATAAAAAATACGCCAACCTTTGTCTTCACATCCCTTTCCATTACCATAAACACAAATAGCCCACCCTACTTAAAAAAAAAAAAAAAAAAAAAGAATTACAAGAAGTATCTGAGATCTTACTGGACAGTTTTACTTGTTACATATCACTAAAGATATTTCTTCATTTGTGTCCCCAATTATTGTGTGTACATAAATATATTATTAACAAATATTGAACTCAATCTTTTTATCAACTTGTTCTCTTTCAGTTAGCACAAATTTTGTATTTCATTCTGGAACTGATTGGTCGTAGGCCTCCCTGATCTGAGCTTATGCACCTCAGTTTTTGAGTGAATTTAGCCAAAATTATCCACAAACAATGCTTATTTTTACTCAAAAACTGATGTGCATAAGCTCAGATCAATGAAGCCTACGACCAATCAGTTCCAAAAAGAAGTACAATTGCTAATTAAAAGAAATTAAAAGAAAAGAAGCTGGCAAAATGATTGAATCCAAGATAAAGATAAAATGGCATGAGAGATTTACAAGCCGGGACCGGGTGACCACAACACCAATTTAAGTAAATGATTTCCAGCACAGCACAAGGGTTAAATAAGTACATAATAAAATATGTACAGTGCATACATTTCATCATAGCTTATCAATTAGATGTAAATCTTAAATGTTAACACTTAACATTTTTCAATTATACTTATTCTGCTCCCTCTGCTGCTGAAAAGAGGAAGAACTGACAAGAAGAGCAAAATAACACAATGCGAATTAGAATATTACACAACAGATATGAAATTGATTGTAAGGGCTTGAAGTTTTGTGGTTGCTTTGATATATTTTTGCAACTTCGATAGAAATGATCGATGCTAGAGTCTGCTTTATATAGTAATGGAAAAAAGAAAAGACAAGACAGTTTCTATTTTATCACACCAATAACCCTGAAAGTTAATTAAATATATGTACATTTCTAAATATAATATTTTGATTGGTGTTTATGTTTTTCTTTAAACTATCTTCAAAGAGGTAATATATGTATTATCTGTATTAAACATATAATATATATTTAATATATATATATATATAACATCTGACAAATGCATAAGGATATGTCATCTTTTATTATTATTATTATCATTGTTGTTATTAATATTTTGTGTTATTTAGCATTACAGTGGAAAACAGAGCAGACAGATCAGCAACCTCATTTATGAGTTCACAGTGCAGACTGTTGATCTCTGTGTTGTGTTTGTGGTCAGTGCATGAAAGTGAAAACAGAATGGAAAGATCAAGCAGCCTTCAGTAGAGCTCAATCTTAGTGGTCAAAAGTTTCCACACAGCGTCTGATGTTGCTAAAAAAAGAAGGTGTCAAAAGCAGTCACATGCATTTATAGCAGCATAGACTTAGTTCATCGCTACCACTTGTGCAAGCCTGAGACTGAACTACAAAGGCCTTTGATTTCAAGTGTAACATTTGTTCTCATAGGACACTGCTCTAGTTAAAAAAAACAAGTTAAACAACTTGGACACTGCTCTAGTTGAACAAATGTTTACAGTTTTCAAAAGTACAGTTTAGCCTGCTCATGCAAACTCATGTAGAACCTCACCTTCTGATGTGCATGTTTATCAGTTCATTGTTTGTGTAAATTATAGTTTAGATCAACATGCTCCTGTCTTGGTGTGATGTGTCTGTCTATGGCAGGACAAAAATAGACATGAATTACAGAAAAATGTATGTGCGTAAAGGGTTTTAATTTAAAGATGAAGTACAATATGTAATTCCCAAATAAAATTGAAAATAATAATAATGATAATGTCAGACGGTTTCATGTTCAGACAAATAGGTCCTACCTCAAACTCACACAATCGGTTAAGCCAACATTGCTGTGTCGAGTTACATGATGCTCAAAAAACACAGCAATGTTTAGATAGCACCACAGAGCTACGGTGTTTCAAAATAACCTACCAATAGTTAATGTTACTTAAAGTTAACATTATTTAAAGTTGTCTAAGTATGAACTGTAATAAGAGACTTAGTTAGGCAAGTATTTTAAAAAGTACTTTACCACTGAAAAACTCACACACTTCACCTTTAAGTTGTGGTGCAGGAGCCTTATTTATCATTAGCTAAGTTAAGTAATAAAACAGATTCAAACCACAGACCCATTAAATATTTAAAAATATAATAAAACGTAAAAATGTGATATACTGTATTTAAAAATATACAAATTATGTTTATTGGTGATTAGTTCTATTGCAGAATGAAGAGGTGATAAAGGCAATATCAACATTGGCCCATTAATGGAAGCTAATCAAAGATGATCGCATGTAATGTGATGTACTATATACTGATATCATATTTCATTTATTTATTATAACACTATTTATGGTATATCAAAATATGATATTGCTTTTTGTGTTCACAAATCTGCACAACATCCAAGAGTTGTGTAATTTCAGGACCATGGACAGGGATTTTCTGTGTCAAAGGTTGCAGTGCATTTTAATTTACATATGGCCTGAATCAAACTAATAATATCCAAAAAAGAATAAACATTTGTTAGAGGATGACAATTAAATCTGGCCCAATTTAACTTTATTTGTCCGTGTAGTATGTACAGTATGTATATTCATGCTTTTTAAATAATTTTAGCATGATAAAATAAAATGCACTTTTCTGGAAAAAAAGGGAAATACTACATGGATATTCTACAATGAATATTCTACATGGATCAATGGATTTTTTGTCTACATAATTAATTGAATGTGTGGGTTGAAAGCGCTGCACATAAAACTGTGTCAAGTTCAGGAAATGGGTGATGATTTGCTGACTAACAGAATCATGTGATCTTAAGGTATCTTAAGTGTATATAACAGTTAACTCTGTGTGAGCTACTTTTTTTTGCCTGAGCACAGAATGATCTGGATGACGATAAAATGGACAGACAACATTGTGTGATGATCTTCCTCTTATATGAAGTCTGTAAGTGCCATTTCAATAATATTCATATATATATATATTTAACAAACAAGGTTAAGGCTTTTCTAAAGATCATCAAAATGTTACAAATGATATTTGTAATCTATTAACAGTTACGATAATATATGGAGACATTATACAACTGAACCCAGTTGTATCAGTTCATGAAGGAGATTCTGTGGTTTTGTCCTGCTTTATTACAACAAAACAGATAAGTATGACACTGTGGTACAAGCAAGTCACTGGAGAAGAACCACGTCTCATTGTTTCCTCTATTCTCCATTCATCGAAAAGCCAATTTCACAATGAATTTGACAGCAACCATTTTGATGTGTTAAGAGGGACTGATAGTTTAAATCTGACAATTGTGAACGCGGTACAATCAGATTGGGGCACGTACTACTGTGCTTTCTCTTTCTCTAATATCATTAAATTCGGAAATGGCACTCATCTGGTTATTAAAGGTGAGTCAGTGCATGCCACTTTCATATTAATGTTTTTATTACGATGATATGGAAAAAAACAGCTATTTATACAAAACATCCATTCTAGGAGCAAAAATCAGCAAACCCATGAGTCTAAAGCTGCCCAAGATTGAATTAGTTAAATCAGGGGTAAATGTTCCTCTGCAATGTTCAATCCAAAATGAGTTTGAAAGAGGTGGAGGTGAACATCGTCTCTACTGGTTCAAACACGGATCAGGAGAATCTCCTCCAGGATCCATTTATGTTCATGGAAACACAAGTGATGGATGTGTGGGGAGATCTGAAGATGACTGTCTGTCACCGACCTGCATGTACAACCTCCCAAAGAAAAAGTTCAGTTCCTCACAAACGGGAACTTACTGTGCACTGGCCGCATGTGGGGAGATTTTATTTGGAAATGTTTCTAAACACAGTCTTGGTAAGTGTGAGCATTTTATTATATCTTTACTACTTATATTTGGAAATATGTTTTCATAGTCAAGAGTCAAAAGACGAGTTGGTAGAGTTCTACGGCAGAAAATACATTCCTAAATAATGTCTTGCAAAAAAAGAAGAAAAAAAAATCAGATAACTAAAATAATATAAATTCAAGTCACTTTTAAATGTATATTCTTCTACAATGTTGAATATGAATTCAAATGTAATATAATTTCAGGTCACTTTTTGAACATAATATTACAATGTGACAAATCATTAAAAAACACATTTATATATTTTTTTATATTTTGGAGATTTTATTTTGTTTTATTTGATCTTTTCCAAAATACCTGTGTGATTTATTTATTTATTGCTTTAGACAACTTTGAGAGTCAGAACATACTATTATTCATTCAAATCGGCCTCGCAGCACTACTGGCAATAAGTTTTACCATCAACATTCTACTTTGTTGCATGAGGAAAAATGGTAAGCATTTATATGAATTTATACAGTCTTCTATAAAAGAGCCTAATTTATATTAATATTATTGCAGAATAGTGTAAAAAAAAATGCCTGATCAATAGTGTAATAGAAATGTAATAGAACATTTCTTAATCAAATAATCTGTAATATTTGAATTTTTCTTTTTAGGCCATATGTGAGCGATGACTATTCTCTCTTTTAAAAATGAATTCACAAACTGTTCAATCTCTGTTCAAAACAGGGAGAAAATCTCAACAGATACAGACTACTAATGAGGATGATGATGATGTGTTAATGAATACGGTAATTATAAAAAAAGAAACCATTGATAAAGCCTTTGATAAAGCATCTATAATTAGTAATATGATAAAGTACGACATATGTAATCTGACTGTGGAAATCTTTTTTTTTTTTTTTTAGAACAGGGAAATGACTTACACTACTGTACAAATCTCCACCAAACACTCAAGAGTGAAGAGAGAGAGCCGTCCTGAGGACACACTGTATTCTGGTTTAGCATGTCAGCAGCAAAGCTGAAAACTACTGTATATTACTATTTTTGCAGACATTTATTTCGTTTGCTCTGTGAACATGTGTCTGCTTTGCTTTGCAAAGTATTCTTACTTAAGAAAATCAAATTTATTTAGATTTTTCTGGAACTAATATAGCGACACAAAACTGCAAAAGCACACAATACAATGTACAGAGGAGAATGTCATCATAAATATTTGTTAAAAAAAGTCATATGATCTTCTCTGACTTTCCAATGACCTGCTATTGTCCAGAAATCATTTATTTTTGTACATATTTAATTTTGTACATATGTGTGTATGTGTGTGAGGCCATATACATAAAAAAAAAGAGAAATATGCTTACTGTGAATACAGAAATATGCATACAGAAATATGCTTTGGAAAATAAAGATATAGTACAACAATCTTTTAATTTAATTTTTCTGACAAATTACTGTGGCAACAGTAACACCACAAGGGCACTTTTCTCAGTTTTCAACACATTTCCCCCAATACATCACACAATGAATCAATGAATGTTAAAAGACATTGAAATAATGATATCATGGTACAATATTTTGCTAATATTATACAGTATTTTACTATTGCTATATAAAAGAAGTATCTGAATATGAAACAACCCTCCTTCCTCACTGCCATTATATTTATGATTTTAATGAAAGCATGTCCTTTTAGAATTCTCACACAAAAAAATGTTGTGTTGCACAATCAATAATCAATACAAACTAACAAACAAACAAACAAACAATATTGACTGAGGCAAAAAAACTGTCATTACCTTGTCAATGAACAGATGCTAGTTCAGATTAAAGTGTAAACTGTTTTATGAGTCTTGAGTAACCTTACCTATTAAAAACAGTAAAAGACTATGTTAGTACATATCAATAGATTTTTGAGGGGGGAAACAAACAGTCCTAATCAGCCTTCAAAATTAGAAAAGTAATTGATCTAAGTATCCAGATCTAAACTGATCATGAACCAACATCCAAAAACCACAAGATGGCAGCAGAGACTATTAGTGCAAGGGGCCCACATGGCCTTAGTTACATTTATAGGTTTCTATTGTATATTATATTATAAGTATCTATTTAGTTTATATCAATGCCAGATTTGTAGTATCTAGACAGAGATCAATATAGTATAAACTCCCTGATTTTGGAACTAATATTCTAAGAATTGGAAGTATATTCTTCACAAATCCAATGCAGATATGTGAGAAAACAGGGGTGAACACAGTGGCTATGTGGTGAATAAATGAGGCCATTAAGATATGATCTAACACAAGATAGGCTAAAGGACAACTTCTAGAAAGCTGACATTAACAGATATCATCTCTACATCATATCGACATTGTACATAGTAACTATTTGACATTATATCATTAATTACATCTGTAATTATCAGATCTATTAAATAAAACCAGTCACTGTATGAGGCAGAGGCTAAGGAAACTGAAAGTTGTGTATGGAAATTAATTCAGTGGTGGGTGTAAAATGCTCACATTCCCACTGTGTACCTTTGAATTTGAACGGTCTTGAAAAACTAAAATACCATTTCCAGAAAATAATGCATATAGCACATGTTTGATTGTATTTTAGCATAGTGCATGATTCTAATCTGTGGTTGCAAGTGTGGTGTATGCAGAACTGTGTCAGGCCCAGGAAATGGCTGATAGCGCTAACTGAACAGAATCATGTGACAGTGCCATACTTCAAGGTGTATGTTATACAACATTATATAACTTGATTGAAGATTGTCTCTTCTCAGCCTGAAGAAGAAAATGGAGAAACAACTTTGTGTGATGGTTTTACTCTTAACTGAAGTGTGTAAGTGTGTATATTTCAATAATTCCATTTAAATTTTTTCATTAATTCAATTCAAAATTGTTCTGATATCAATGTTTCAGATCATTGCTTTTTAGTTGTTTTAATTGATGTACAAGGTTAATTCTTTTACAGTGGTGGGACACATTATAAATGATATTTGTAATCTATTAACAGTTACGATAATATATGGAGACATTATACAGCTGAACCCAGTTGTATCAGTTCATGAAGGAGATCCTATGGTTTTGTCCTGCTTTATTACAACAAAACAAACAAGTACGACACTGTGGTACAAGCAAGTCACTGGAGAAGAACCACGTCTCATTGTTTCCTCTATTCTCCATTCATCAAAAAGCCAATTTCATAATGAATTTGACAGCAACCATTTTGATGTGTTAAGAGGGACTGATAGTTTTAATCTGACAATTGTGAACACTGTACAATCAGATTGGGGCACGTACTACTGTGCTTTCTCTTTCTCTAATATCATTAAATTCGGAAATGGCACTCATCTGGTTATTAAAGGTGAGTAAGTGCATGTCTGTTTCATATTAATGTTTTTATTATGATGATGGGGAAAAAACAGCTATTTATACAAAACATCCATTCTAGGAGCAAAAATCAGCAAACCCATGAGTCTAAAGCTGCCCAAGATTGAATTAGTTAAATCAGGGGTAAATGTTCCTCTGCAATGTTCAATCCAAAATGAGTTTGAAAGAGGTGGAGGTGAACATCGTCTCTACTGGTTCAAACACGGATCAGGAGAATCTCCTCCAGGATCCATTTATGTTCATGGAAACACAAGTGATGGATGTGTGGGGAGATCTGAAGATGACTGTCTGTCACCGACCTGCATGTACAACCTCCCAAAGAAAAAGTTCAGTTCCTCACAAACGGGAACTTACTGTGCACTGGCCGCATGTGGGGAGATTTTATTTGGAAACATATCTAAACACAATCCTGGTAAGTGTGAGCATTTAAACATTTCTGACACCTTTGGTTAGCCAATACAACTCATTATATTTGTCTCTTGGAACAGTGCTACATTATGAACTTCTTTGCATGAAAACACTTTCATTTTTATCTTTAATATGAAGGTAACCTAATCAACTAATTTCCAAATTGTTCTTTCTAAATACTTGTGTATACAATCCTTGATATATATCAAATATTACTCCTCATGGTTTAGACTTCAAGAGCCAGAACACAGACTTATTCTTTGTAGTTGGCCTTACGGTGCTCCTGACATCAAACATTACCATCAATATTCTTCTGTGTTGCATGAGTAGAAATGGTAAGTGTTTGTTTGAATTCATCTAGTCTTGCTTCTACAAACAACAGTTTGTTACAGCATAGTAGTTTTTCAAAGAGAGGTGTAAAATGTACAGCATGCTAGAATTTATTTTAATATAATATTTCCTTCAAAATGTGCTATATTAGAACATTTCTGTTTAACTCATGTGAGGGCTGACCATTGTCTCATTTATTACAGAGACTATTAATGCAACAGAAAGCAATTGTAAGCAAATCCAGACTACTGATGATGATGTGTCAGTAACTGAGGTTTGTCAAATTAAACTCTCCAGATTTAAAACCACTTATGATATTCATCATATGAAAATATAAATTATATCGTCTGGAATGTTCTTTTTCTTGTAGTATGAGGAAGTGAACTTTTGGTCTTCACCCGTCATCGCCAAATGCTCAAAGAGTTCAAAGAAACACCAGCTTTAAGGACATATGATATTCTGGTTTGACATATCAAGACCATGGCAAAACATTATTGTATATTAGCTCATATTAATCATTAATAACTATCATCTTATTTGAATAATTCTGCCAATTATTTTGGATCAACAAATTCTGTTTAAGTAGCTATTAATATGCTGTACTGTGTATACTGTAATAACTGAAAAAACAATCACTAAATATCTTCCACAATGTTGAATTGCAATAATTACATGCAGTATAATCATTTTTGTTTGCTTTGCTCATATAATAAACAGTAACGGCTATTACAATTTACACTGAAACATTCTTTGGACTCTATTTCTACCATATCTCAGCCTCAGACGTCACGTCCACGGACCGCTGGCTGAACGTTTGATGCATACAGCACAAAAAAATTGGAAACACTTCAGAAGTTTTGAAGTCGTAATCTGATTGGTTGAATTCTACAGGATTTCCGGGAGATGTGTGTCGCGTTCTAACATTCCGCCTGGAAACAAAGATTCCGTTATGCCAAACCCCATCATGGGAGAAGAAGAAAGCCGTCGTGTTTACTGCTGTGACAATTAGATCAACTAAACGCTGGATTTTCAAAAGTATGTGAAATATGTAAAGTTCGCGGCATAGACTCTTTAGAATGCGTCCAAGAGATTTACACACTGGTCTGTTATTTTGGGGACATTTCCACGCCCCTAAACATAACACGGCCCAAAATGAAATGTGATTGGTTGCTTTACCTGTCAGTCATATGGCCTCTCATGTCCTGGTACTTTTAGATTTAAGTGCTGCATTCAAAACAGTTGACTACGGTGTTCTTTTGGGCAAGTTATGGGCAGCAGAGGTCCTGCTCTAAGAAGGTGTCAATCATACCTAAAGCACCTAAAGTAATGTGACGTGTAGCCAAGTATGGTAACCCATATTTGGAATTTGTGCTCTGCATTTAACCCATCCAGTGCACACACACTGCAGTGAGTGAGTAAACACACACACACACACACACCGTGAACACACTCTCAGAGCAGAGGGCAGCCATTTTTTTGCAGCGGCGCCCGGGGAATAGTTGGGGGTTAGGTGCCTTACAGATTACAGATGGTAGCCTCCTGTTTTAGTGTAACCAGATATAAAAAAACAACAACAACAGCAAATGAGTTCGAAAGCAGGGGCAGGATAGCAATATTCTTGCACCACTAGGTGGCAGTAGAGACCATGAATTGAATTCGGCATTTAGATTTTTTTCAAGCATTTAGCATTTAGAAGTTTCAGACTCACCCTGCGTTCCATTCGGAAGGGCTCGTCCCTACGCCCTAATCCCTTCAAAAGGTTTACCCTCCTGAGCGAGAGCTTCGAAGGGACGAAGGGTGTAGGGAACTTCTGGAATGTCATCTTAATGAGACGATCAAGGAGGTGCCTTCGTCGCACATTTTGTATTACATTTTTTACGTCTTTACGTTAAAATATAATGTATATTTGTATATGTAATGTAATGTAATATGTATTTGTAATGTATATTGTGTCTATGCATTTGAAACATTTGAATGGACTGATAAAGGTAGAGTATTTTTGTTTAAGTACAATGTCGTTTTGACCATAATATTGTACCAAATCTAACTCGTATAAATATTACAGTAGTATAGACAATAGGCCTACATACATTTATCGGTGAAGTCGAACTCTGTGACGCCAAACAACTTCCCTGTGCAAAGGATCATGGGGGCCCGAAGTGTCCATCGGTTGTACCCTTCGAAATCCTTCATTACGAAGGGCCCTTTGAAGTGGCCAGTTTTGAGCACTTCGGTTTGGAAACGACCCTTCAATATGGCGGCCATGATTGTTTTCGTCCCAAAGTGCCCTTCGGTCGGATATATCCCGTTTGGAATGCACCAATACTCCGTTTGCATCAGAAGCAGCACGGGCTGTTGTGCTTTCTCATAAGACGTGTTTACAGTGAGTAACGTTGCTTCACACTCACTCCCTTTGCAGTGCCTATTTTTTTCCATGCCAAAGTTAACAGACTAGCGCATTCAATGGAAACGGATGCAGCGCGGCATGTGCGTTCAGCACTGAGTCTATTTTTGCTGTGCTGCACGTGCTGAATTACAGTAATGGCACATTGTTCGTAGTCAAAATGAACACGGATTGAAATGAAAATGTACCAATTTTACCCTATATTTTCCAACAACACCAGGAACCTATCATTTGAGTAAGTAAATACATCATTTTTAAAAAATATTTTATTTTAAGCTTTTCACATTTTAGAGAACAATCCCCCAACCCCCATGCCAGCAAATCAAAGGAAAGAAAGAAAGAAAAAACAAACTTAATGACACTGTAATCAATGTAATCATGCATATACAGAGTCATAAAAAAAAAAAAAAACTCCTACACCAATAAATACCCTATTATGGAAATATATAATTGTTACACACTTTTATTTTACCAAATTAACCACCACACTTAAAGAAAAAGGTTAAATTCAGTTATCATTGGTCACCTTCCAAATATTCCAAGAAGGACTTCCAAATCTGTACGAACAACTTTGGTTTACCTGCAATCTCGTATCTAATTTTTTTCATATGTAACACATTAATGAGCTCTGTAAGCCACATTTCAAATTTAGACGCAGACTCTTTGTTCCACAACAACAAAATTATAAACTGATGCCTTGTTCTATTTATGACGTACTGACACAAAGTTAAAATGACTTGCAGCGGTCGCTTTGTCGCGTCCAGTGTAGAGCTGTTGAGGTGCGACGCGACAACTGTAGCGTCCGGTATAGACACGGTGAGTGAAGCCGAGAGCAAGATATGCCTCGTCATATTTTCTGCATTTAGCTTTTAAATGACCAGCACCTGCCTGGGTCTGTGCGACTTCATCTATGGCTTTTCTCTTCGCTTTCACAAACCGATCCATCTCCCATTCCAAGTTACGTCCTTTGGCTGTTTACGGTTTTATTTCTTT